ATAAATCATTTATTTATAAAATATAAATTTATTTATAAATAATAAATTTATAAATAATTTATTTATTGAAATTTGCAGCAAAAACTTACAAGAAAATGAATTAAAAGATTTAAAGAAAAAACCAAAACTAAGTGACTAAGTACAGTTGAAAAAAAAAATCTTAAATACAGTAATTATATATTATTATATTACTATTAAACCAACATATTGAATGTTTTTCTTAAAATAATAAAATTAAAACTTTAATGATTTATGAAAAAAAGACTTTTACCACCAGAAAAAATGGAAGTATAAATCTCAATAAATTAGGCAAAAAAATTAATAGATCTAAATTATCTTATATATAATACCAGGGGTGCACACTCTGAATTTTAGTCAGTCGCCAGAAGGGCAACTGACTAAAATTTTTGACTTTAAAATAACGATGCATCAACTTTTTGATGAATTTATAGATAGATTTTATCAGTTATTGATAAAACATTTATAAACATAATTTATCTTAAATGTATTACATCAAAACAACTTTACACAATATTAAATTAATAAGAAACAAGTAAAACATTTGTGAAAAAAGTTCTCTTCAACAAAAGCACTTTTCCTATTTTATAACAAAAAAAAGTATTTAATTTCCTTTCGCTTATTACAATATAAGATAATCTATGATGGAGAGACATATTTAACGTAATGAATTGGTAGATGATTAGAAAAAAACTTTAATAAAAATTGTGAAACAATTTTACATCGATTTGAAATTAAAATTTACATTCAATGTTTTACTATTATACATTCCTTCAAAACTAAATTTAAATTTTTAAAATCATATTTAATTTAAAGTTTATTAAAATTAATTTTTTTTTTTTTATAAAACAATTTTTTTTACAACCTGATATATTCTGAATAAACGCCACATATTTTTATTTATTTATTTATTTGAATTTTCATGCTATATTTTTCTATACAATTTTATATCTAAAGATATTGTTGGCTTAGCATAGGAACAGCCACAAATAGATATCAAGACTAATCCAAAGCAGCGTTTGTTATTGACCAACATTTTTGGGTACAGAAGTACTACTCAACCGCTGAGTTGGAAGTGGCAGGATTTGAACCCATTCGTACAACAGCCCAGGTTTTAACTTTTTGTTTGACGCTCTAACCAATTGAGCTATCTAGCCACATAAACAATATAAAAAGAAAACTTAAATTTTCACCTAACTTTTCAACATATATGAAAAAAGCGAGCTGTGTAATGCTTCTGAACAATATCAAAGTATTTTTTTATTTGGCTAATTTAGTTCCATTACTTCATCTCTAAAACCATATTTAAGGACTAAAAACTTTAAACTTTATTAACTAAAAAGTTTTATTGTGTAAACAAAAATAAAATAGTATTTTTGTTTAAACAATAAAACTTTTTAGTTTTTATTTAGGAAGTATTTTATTAAATACATAAATAATTCATTAATAATAGAAAATGCTGAAAACAAACTTTGACACTGTGACTTTAAAAATAAAATTTTATTGTTATTTAAAAAAAAAAAACTAGAACTGACAATAAAAATCAATAGTCACTTTTTCAGGCAACTTAATTGCATCAAACAAATATTTTTAGTTGCCCTTCACAAAATTCGGTTGTCTTATACCTTTAGGCGACCATTAGTGTACACCTGCAGTCGTTGTTTGTAACCAACCGTTATTTTCCATGCTGATGCATATATAAATATATATATAAATAGGTATATATTATGCCTTGTTTCAAAGTGTTATGCAATATGGATTTTACAAACACAATTCTTCTTCTATGTATGTGCATGGTATTTTGGTTAAAAAAAAGCTAACAAAAAAATTTATTTAGTAATATTTAAATAAGTCTAATAATTTTTAGATTGTTTGATTATTGAATTAATTAATATTCAAAAACCATTTATAAAAAAGTTGGAATGGTAATTACATAAAACAAACTTGTTATTTCTCAAACTTGGATAAATTTAACAAAAAAATAAACATTAATTTTTATCAAATGAGAGAGATAAACCTACTTGAGTTATTTAGAATAACTTTTTCATGTTCCACATTTCTTAAGGTCAATAAATACTCTACAATTGACTCATTTCCTTGAATTATTGCTGCATGCAGTGGATAAATTTGATCTTGTGTACATGAAAGATTAAGAAGTTCAGAAAATGTTTGTGCAAGGAGAGTTACAACATCAAGATGGCCATAATAACAAGCAATATATAAAGGTGTTTCGCCAGTCCTAAAATTTCGTCGCACATCAGCTCGATTATGAATAAGCAGCTCAACAATAGCTTTGTTACCATGAAAACATGCACTACAAAAATTTAAACATTTGTTTTTCATCTAAGCATAAATTAACCTAAAAGTAATATTTATAAGTTTATACCAAAAAATATTTACATATAATACTATATATAATACTAATATTATAATATTGCAAGTATATATCAAAAAATACATAAACTTTAGCCCCTTAACTGTGGCGTAGATTTAAAAGTTACATTCTCCATTACAGAGTAATATATTTGTTTAGAATTATTTCAAGTCGTTAACTTTTTTTTTGTATAGTGTGCCAAAAATTATAAAAGTAAATTAAATTATAAATAATTATAAATTTTTATAACTATTATAAAATAATTTTATAATAATTATAAAAATTATAATTATTATAAAATAAAAAAGTTTCACTAGCTATTATCCGTCAGACACAAAGAGAGCTATACCTTGCAGTGACGGATATATCCGTCAGTTAAGAGGTTAAAACTTATTCAAGTTTATTTTTTCATAGGAATTAACCTTCAAAGGAATTCACTGTTTAGCAATAAACAAGAAATTTGAAAAGTTTAGGCGTTATATGATTTTTGATATCATAAACTCTTTTTATTTATTTGTAATTCTAATAATTTGTTATTGTGTAGAAAATTTGTTTGTGTAAAAATGTACAAATGTAATATTATTTAGACTGGTACTAATATCCGAATTGCTGATAAATATATTATATACAGGGCTCGAATTAAGTGTATTGCGATCGCGAATTGCGATTGCTTTTTACACCTTCGCGATTAGTTTTTTCTTAAAATATATATTTTTGCGATTGGTTTACTTCTTGAGTTGTTTATTTACTATTTTTCTAATTTAGTTTTTTTTTTGGCAATTGGCTTAAAAGTAATGTTTTTTTTTTTGTTAAAAGTAATGTTTTTTTTTGGCTTTGGCTTAAAAGTAATGTTTGCATAGTAAAGTATGTCACGCAAAGTTTTTCTTTTGAATAGAAGCATGATCATTTGCTCTTTTGCAAGGAGATTTTTATTCAACGTAAAGTACTTTTTAATTTAAATTACTATTAATCTCTGCGTAGAAACAAACTAAAAAGACAAAAGTTAAAAGAATTTTTTCTTCATTAAATTTCTTTTAATAAAACAAACATTTTTTATCTTTTTTTTTTAAAAAAAGATAACAAATTTTTTGCTACAAATTAATTTACTAATAATGATTTAAATTATTATTTTGTAAACAATTTTATATAATTATTTTTACTACTTTAAGTGTAATGAAACTATTGAAGTTATATTTAGTTAACTTTACTGAATGGATAGAGTATATCACAGTAAATTAACTTATAACCTAAATCAAAACAACCAGTTAAGCTAAGATAGTAACTTACAGTAACTCAAGTATTAATTCAACAATTATATGAATTTATTTAATATACTCGCAAAAGTTAGCTATAGACATGTTTCAATTTAGATCTTACATGTTGTTAACACACAATATAAGCTTTTAACTAATAATTATTTTAATAAAGATTGTCGAATAGAATATGAAAAACGCGACACCATTTTTTTATATTTTCACTTTATCTATAGCGACATCTAGACTAAACATTTTCTATAAATATGCAAGTTGTTTTCAGGAATTTTATTTAAAAAGAAATCTATTTTACCAAGAGAACTTTAGCCTTAAAATTCACTTATTCAAATAATTTTGTGATTAAAATTTGAAATTGAAAAAAAAATTGAAAAATTTAAAAAAGTTTAATGAAACAAGGGAGAATGAAGGAGAATTTTTTTTTTCGTAAATTGTAAATTTTGTTAACATTTTGAATTATATTTTTTTTCTTGAAAAAAGTTTTAAAAGTAGAAACATTCTATTGCAAACATCAAACCAGTGATTGCGAATTGCAAGTTAAAATAAAAATTATAAAAAATTTAAATTAAATTTAATAAATTATTTTACTTCTGTTTGAAAAAAAATTTTTCTGAATAAAATAATTCAAGCATATTCTTATACTTAATATAATTCGATTTATTAAACAAAATTTTTGTTTCACTTTTTTTTTTGATTAGAAACGATTAGAATAAAAAGAAAATTGAATGAAAATATCAGTTTAAAAACTATTTGAATGAAAAACTTAATTATACTTAAATTTTTAATAGTACGCTTGATCAGGAAACGATAATTTATAAAATCTAATGTTTGTGTGGTTTGACTAAATGAGTAAGACCAAAGCAAAAAAACATTAGTGGTATCTAATGTTTTTTTGCTTTGGCCTTACTCATTTGGTCTATAGATTATAAACTTGTATAAGTCTATAGGTGCAAATATGAAGTTTTGTTATAGTTTATTAACTAGATCAATTTTATTTACTTGCTTCCTTTTATTTTAAACGCGTTTTATTTTATAAACTGTATAAATCAACACGAAACAGCGTCACAAATTTGTTTCACATTAACCCAAGTTATTTATATTTTTAAAACAACTTTGCAGTTTGTTTTAATGTTATTTTATAGCTTTTAACAATTAAATACTTTTTAAAATTAACACGTGTTTAGCATCAGCATGAACGTATAATATAGTTTTCTTTGACTAAATAAAGTGATTTAGATATTGTAATGTTGCTTTTTCTCTTACTTTTTTAAGTATCATGTTAAGTAAAAATATACTTAAAGAAATATCTTAATAGTATTAAAAACGTTATTGTTTATTACAACTGCAACTTAAACTTTAAGTTATAACTAAAGTTGTAAATAATAACAGTAACTTATTTTAAACTCTGTCAAACAGTAACGCTATTTTAAACTCTGCCAAACAAGAAAATTATAAGATTATACTTAAATATGAGAGATAATATGTTAAAATAAAACAATTATGTATAAAAGTTACAATTATATAACCCCCCATTACCGCAAAGTAGCACAAGGTATAAGGGGGGAGGGGTGAGTGTGAAAAAAAAGAAAATTTTTCGTGATTAGATTTTATTGCGTTAATTCCAGCCCTCATATACAATCCTCGGAATGAGAAAAAAAAAGGTCGGAAATAAATTACCAACCTCAAACTGTTAGAGGTCAGCATTAGGTCAGCAAAAAAAATTTTACACAAAGAGTTTACAATAAAACATAGAAACAAGGTCGGCCATTTTTTTGCTGTCCTTAAACACTTTCAGGTCGGTAGTTAGGTAGGCATTGCCGAACTGGGACCCTAATTCCGATGGTTGTGTATATATATATATATATATATATATATATATATATATATATATATATATATATATATATATATATATATATATATATATATATATGTATGTATGTATGTATGTATGTATGTATGTATGTATGTATGTATGTATGTATGTATGTATGTATGTATGTATGTATGTATGTATAGATATATACAAATATATATATATATACATATATAAATGTATATATATATATATATATATATATATATATATATATATATATATATATATATATGTATATATATATATATATATATATATCAAGATTTTCAATAGTACTTTTTAACAGAAGGGATCGAATAGCAGAAATGGGGTTTAAATTCTACAGACTTGTGAGGAAACCTATACTTACACCAAAGATGAAATTAAAATAACTTACTTGGGCTAACATCACCTACATATGTCTGCTGAAGATTAGGAAAATGTAAGTAAATACTTATTACTGTAACAGCATCATACTTAGGTATCAGCATCAGCAACAGCATCAGTACTTATACAGCATGATGATGCGGCATTATTTTGAGCATTAAACTATCCTACAATATCAAGTATTCTTTAAATTTAATTAAAAAAAAAAACATCCAAATTTTTTATCCAACCTGTTAAGCAATGTATTATTTCCATCGTGACTGTATTCATTCACTGTTTTGTAAGTTGATTTCATACTATCCAATGCTTTTTTTGCACCATAAAAGTCATTCATTTCAATAGATTTATAAAGTGCTAAGATAAAAATAATATAAATTTTTTTTTTTATTAATCTAATAACTTACAATTACAAGCAAAATTATTTTATAAATTATAATTACATCCCTATTTTGCATGTAATTATAATTTTGCATTTGAAATAATTTAATACCAAAATGCTAAAAATAAAAAAAAAGCTAATATAAAAAACCTACTACTAAGTAAATGACCAGATATAACTGCTGACCTTAAATGGTAACAGTACTTGATTAATCAAAAATACTTAACATTTGTATTTACCTTTTGCTTTATTAAGCTCATCTTCTTTTTCTCGTTTTTCTAGACAAAAATATAAACATCATAAAATTCAGTTTTTTTGAGACATTAACATTTTTAAATTACTGCAATAATAATAATTAGTCTAATAAATATAACAATTTTTTTCAGTTTCAACAACATGTTTTGATTATATAATAATCATTTTCAAGTATAAAACTGTTAAATACAAAAATTATTTAATATATAGTGAAAACAAACATTAATTTAATTTTATTGGTTAGTCAAACAAAAGAAAACATAAAAGGTGTGAAAACTCCATCAAAGAATAATGGAAAATGTAAATAATTATTGTAATACCTACGTCATAGAGTATTAGAAAATATAGATTAGAGCAGAAGTGTTAGCGTGTAATTAAAAACCTGTTTATTAAGATCAGGTTTTTCCCACAAAATGTGTAATGCTTCTTTGATTTTTAAGTGATGTGAAGTTTGGGCATAGTCTAATAATGAAAAAGAGTTATTATTGGCTGCATTAAAGCAGCCAATAATAACTCTTGTTTTTGAATAAAAATCTTGTTTTATTGTTTTATATAAGAAGTTTTTTATAATTTTAAAAGTTCCTCATTTTTTTACTCAAATGTCGATTGGTTTGACCCATATAACTTAAAAAACTATAACATTTGCCAATAATCATCATGAAACCAAATCAAGGAAATAGTAATTACAATGGATAAAAAAAACAATATAAATTGTATGTTAAAAATAATTAATGATAAATCTAAATTACTGAATTAAAAACGAACATGACCTTACTGAGTGAAAGAAAATTACAATGAAAATTAAAAAAACTTTATCATAAAAAATTCTTAACTGAAACACAATATTTTGATATTCAACCTATAAGTTCTAAAACATCTCGTCTTTATGATCTACCTAAGACTCAATTAATAACCTTAATTTCATATATATATATATATATATATATATATATATATATATATATATATATATATATATATATATATATATATATATAATATATATATATATATATATATATATATATATATATATATATATATATATATATATATACATATATATATATATATATATATATATATATATATATATATATATATATATATATATATATATATATATATATATATATATATATATATATTGGCAGGCCAAGGCATATTTTAAAGTTGTTTTCTTCAAAGAATTGCTTGCAAACCTTAGCAGCATGTAGCATTATCTTGTGGGAAGATTCTAATTTTTTTTTGAAAATGTCAATAGAGGGCATCAAATATTTTGAAACAACTGACACCTTCATAGTTTATGCAGGCCCAAATGTCTATACTACCACTACCACGTTTTTTTCTATTTGTAGAGTAATTTAGGTCCATTTAGTAATGTGGCTTTCTTTTCAGCATTACTTGGTTTTTCCTTAAATCAACTTCAAAGTTTATTTTATCTCTGAAAAGATTGTTGCGCCACATGCTTATAGATCAAATTTTATGAACACCAGTTTTTTTCTTGTTTACTAATGTTTTATTAAAAGACTGGGCTTTTTCGCAAGCTGCTCGCCACATAAAATTGTGTTTTTGTAGTACTCTTCTAATTGTTTTAGCACTAGCAACAACACCAGAAGCTTTTTTGTCCTTGTCGACTATGATCAGTAGATGATAAATTTTTTTTTTCACTATGCAAATAAGTGAACGTACATTTCTTTTATTTGAAATGCTGAGTCTTCCATCCTGAGAACTGCTGCTGCTGCTGAGTCTTCTGCTGCTGCTGCTTCTTCTGCTTCTTCTGCTGCTGCTGCTTCTGCTGCTGCTGCTGAGTCTTCCATCCTGAGAAATCCTGAGTCTTCCAAAATGATATTTCTTTTTTATCCGTATCCAGTTCAGCAAACTTAGTAATTTAAAATAAATCAGCGTAATCAAAAAATTTTTTATAATAAAAAAAGTTAACAATTCATCAAATATCTCTAATTAATACTGTCAGTTTAGGGTCGTTTCGTGCCAAATGGTCTAAAATTTTAGGATTCCAACATGGACCCCCTCAGATTTTGATGAAACTTAGTGGGTTGGTTTATATAAATGAGAAAAGCAATTCCTGAAAATTTCAGCTTCAAATCTTATGTGAAACTTATATTGAAATTTCTGATTTTTCCAAAAATAAAAACTTCAGTAGCAAAAACATGTTTTGTTCATACTTTGAAGCTCTGTATTTTAAAAACTAAATTTCAGAAAACCTTCTATTTTTTTTTTATCATATACAATGCTAGGCTTACTTTGTTAAAACTTTGACATTAAACTTTTAAATCTCACATTTTATTCATAATGGCTGCCTAAAAAACCGAACAAATTGTTTGCAGATATAGAAAGTTGATTTTTGATGGGTCAATATACAAAACTAGCAATTTAAGAAGTAAAAATACATATCTTTTTAGCTTCTATATATGGTAGGCTTCCTAATTTTCAGAAATTTGCTGATATGATACAATTCAGTAAGAAATTATGGACCCCTAAAAATGGCTCCGGCTAGAACTTACAAAAATGTGCCTTCCCTTAAATCCACTGGTAACCTATGATCAACACTGATTTTCATGATATACTTTTTTTCTACTCATTTAGTAGACTTTATTAAAGTGATTTCAGAAAAAAAAATAGTGGGTACTCATGGGGAAGTTACAAAGTCAGAACAATGAAGTCGGCACAAAATGCATTAAAAACGCAAAAAATAGAGATATTGATGTACTTTAGTATTCATTATTTACTGCAATGCAAAAAAATGTATATATATATGAAAGTATATCAAAATCATTGCTACAAATTAGCTTTAAATTAGGACTGAGTTAAACTCAGGTTTTAAATAACCTTAGTTGCCCCCCCCCCCTGTATTTTTATTTTTTAACATATATATATCTGGAAGAAAATACATATGTATTTTCTCCCAGAACTTATCTTAAAAGAAATATGTTATTGTATGTTTTACTTTACAAAATGTGTCTGATTTTTTTTCTAATGCATGAAGTGTTAATGCACAAAATAACAATTGAACATACACAGTTAAAAGCTGTGACATGGCAAACAAGTTATTGGGTGTACTTTTTATCTTTATTTTGTATATAAAATTTATCATTCTATATTTATTTATTGTGTCAAAACTTATGGAAACCTTATTTTACACTTCAAAAATTGAAAATTAATATATTTTTTTTAGATAATAATTAAAAATAAATGGCAAGTTCATCTTTAGATCTAACTCAATGTTGCATTGGAAAAAAATTAAATGAAAATTGTCATGAAGGAAAATTTACCAAAATCAAGAAAATTAAATTTTTTGAGGAATTAACAAAAAAAGATCAAGAGCTTGTGCACTTAAGATGTAAAGTAAATCCTATTAAAACTATTTGTAATCACCATGAAAAGATCTTCTTGGATAGATTTGAGTCATCGTATGTTGGAAGCTTTTGTTGCGATCCTTTTAACAAACACAAAATTAAAATTAAAAGTATTTAAAAATAGATTAACTTAATGACTATATTAAAGATAAAGTCTTCTTTATTTATTTATTTAGTGTTTTATCATATATTTTTTTAGAATCTGTCAGAGTAATCAGTGCTGCTGTTGCAAAGGAATTTGATTTAATACCTGATTATAAGCTTTTTACAGAATGTCGTAAAATATTGCACTAAAGAAAACAAGAACATGAAAGCGATTCATGTAAAAATCAAGATAACGATTTTAACGGGATTCATATTTCAAAAGAAAACTTTAATTTAAGCATTAACACCTTTGGTTGTTCACCTCTAAAACTAGTAGCTTATAAAGACAGAGTCAGCAATGCAAAAAGAAAGGTTAACAAGATCCATACTGCAACCAAAAAGAAAATAGCAACTGTTTTAGATGTTTCTCCGGATTTAATAAATGATGAACCAAAAACAAAAGAACTTTGTTGCAAAAGTTAACAAGATTTGGACTCACTAATGGAATTAATTAAAGCAAAGTTTGATATTTCTGCAAAACCAGAAAAACTTAAATTACTAACTTTGGTTCCTGAGAGTTGGAACATTAACTATACAGAAAACTATTTTTCTGCTTCCCAAAGAGTGATAAAAACTGCAAGGCATTTGAAACAAATGCATGGCATAATGGCGGAGCCATCTAAAAAAGAAGGAAGATCTATTAGTGAGAAAGTAAAAAATCTAGTCCATGAATTTTACCAATCAGATGAATACTTTAGAATGTGTCCAGGAAAAAAACAGTATGTCTCAATCCAAGTTGATGGTAAAAGACAACATTTTCAAAAAAGACTGCTATTACTTAATTTAAAAAAACTTTATTTAGAGTTTGTTAAAATTTCCTTAGATGTCAAGATTGGATTTTCTAAGTTTTGTGAACTTAGACCAAAGTGGTGTATTCCTGTTGGAGGTGCTTCAGGTCTCCACTCAGTATGCCGGAACTATATCATGCTTTTTGTTAGCGAAAAGCTAACAAAAAACATGATATAGTTCCGGTAACTTTTCCAGTGGATGATTTTATTGAAAAAGCTTGTCAACAAATAGACCAATTAAGAGACCATCACTATATAGCCAAAAATCAAGCAGCATATTTGCAGCATCTAAAAATCACATTAGCAAGTAATCAAATTTTAATATTATTAGACTTTGCTGAGAATTACAGTTTTTTAATTCAAGATGCAGTACAAGGTTTCCATTGGAACAATAGCCAAGCAACATTGCATCCTTTTGTTATTTACTTTATGGAAGAAAACAAGATAAAATGTAAAAGTATTTGCATTATCTCAGATAATTTGCAACACAATACAAACTCAGTACATTGTTTCATTCATGAAGTATTAAAACATTTAAAAAACTTGATACCCTACTTTAACCACTGCATTTTTATTTCAGTGATGATGCAAGTTCACAACACAAAAATTATAAAAACCTATCTAACTTATGTCACCATAAATAAGATCATGACGTATCTGCAGAATGGCATTTTTTGCTACATCACATGGAAAGAGTGCGTGTGATGGTGTTGG